TGTATTTTCCTTTTGTATTTTACTTTTTAGTGTTACCGTTATTGCAGGGGACATTCTGTCCCTGGCTTTGTGTCTCCTTTTCCCCCGCCCTCATTCTTGTCATTAATCTCCTTATTTGGTTTTTCGTAATGCAAATATTTACACTTCATTTAACAGCATGACCAATGGTTCTTCAGCAAAAGAGCCCTTGTAGGGCAGCAGATCGTTGTGGACAGACTAATACCAAAGACTGCAAACTCTTAAAGTCAATCAAGCTTCAAAATAGTGGCTAAACACCTCACCGAGATGCCCAGCCAATCTGTGAACCTTTGAGGCTACAGTAATAAAGTGAAATATTTGCCGTCTGATTATGTACGCTTGCTTTGTTTAATTATAGTTTGAAAATGAGATCATCACCAAACTGGATCACGAAGTGGAAGGAGGCAGAGGAGATGAACAGTACAAAGTGTTATTTGACAAAATGTAAGTGTTGATCAGCGGCGAGATTTATGTCACCGTAAAGTCAGGAGAGAGAGCAATTAGACTACAATGAACTTTGTGGCCCAGAAATAATTAAAATCTGTTAATGATGCACAATATTTAAGATTGCACCTGAGTCAAGGTTTTTTCTGCATGTGGTTAACAAGGCGATGTAATTGGTTTTTCAGTCTCTTGGAGCACTGCAGGAAACACAAATACCTTGCGAAGAGTGGAGAGACGTTTGTGAAGCTTGTGGTCCGCTTAATGGAGAGGTTGTTGGACTACAGGACCATCATGCACGACGAGAACAAGGAGAACCGCATGAGCTGTACCGTCAACGTGCTGGTAAGCAGAGAGAGGTCACCAGCCTGAAATGAACACTGCGTGCTGAATTTTACACCTTTAACAGATGATTCTGTGTAAAACAGAGTACGTGGTGGGATTCCCATGGAAGTTTGAAATACTTTGGGGTTTTTTAATTCCTTTCTTAATGAAGGTGAATCTATGAAAATGTGGGTTATGGCTCCTTAATTGATTCTAAGGAAAAATTTTAGAAGAAATGTTTCAGGGCCTGATCTTTGAGGGCTGTTCATTGACATGTACAATTGATGTATGGACAACTTTATGCAGAAAAACACTATGACATACAGAACATTGGATAATACACAGTTTACTACCAAAATTTTTGTGCATTTGCTATCCTATTTGTATTCTGCTTACTGCTCAGCTTCCATAATCAAAATTTTTGAAGCAATTTGAGTTACTGTTTCATTCACAGCAGAATGTGGAATTTCCTCCTCTTAGTTCCAGATATTTTGGAGTATCTACTGCAAACTGTTGTCCATTTAGGCTAGAGCTGGAAGCAGGAGAAGTTGTTCCCACAGCACACACGTCATGCTTTTCAGCCGAAGCATTAGGGTATGAGATTTTACTGGCACAAAATTGGCACATATTGAAAAATGATGTCAAAATAAATTTTAGAGACCCCCAAACATAGTACTAGCTACATTTGATTTTTCCAGTAGGGCTCAAACCGTTAGCCACTAAGGTTGCATAGCTTTCATCCCCATATCATGGTCAAAGCTTTAATTTCATGTATGTGGGGCACAGACAGCGTTTATCGTTTATGTGAGATGGCTGGTAGATTTTGTTCAGAATGGTTTGGAAATGTAGCTTTGGTGTTTGAAAGTAACACAGCCGTCCCGGGCTCGTGTGGTGCAGCCTTTGTGCCGCGCGGTCACGGAAGCGGGGAATGAAACGGTGCCCGTTGGAATGGGAGAGAAGCAAGACATCACATCAGAAACGGGGATTTTATTCGCTGTACACATCAAAAAGCATCAGAATGTTTAGGAAAGGGGAAAAGAGCAGGAACTTGGAGAGTCCTTGGTGGCTGCTGATGTAGTAAGTGCCCATAGGTTTCCTGCAGAGAAGTCACAGCATCCTCGCGAGCCGAAGGCGAGTTAGAAAACCTGCCTGTTTGCACCAGGCCAGGGAGGAAAATAAAAATTGCGGACACCGTACACTCAAAAACATGACAGCAGTTTCTAAAACTAGGAAAATTTCCTAAGGAAGGTGAATTTATTTCTCCTTCCTTCATCGTCATGCTCTGAGTCTCCTCCTAGTAATGCTCACCATACCAACTGCAAGCGGTCCAGCGGGGCACTTGGGGCTTGGGGTTGTTTTCTCTGAGCGCCTCTAACGGCATCTCCTGACTTTTGTCATCTGAATTGTTCAAGTATTTGCAGATGATCAATTTTGTGGGCAATTTACTGCTGTCAAGTTAAATCACCGTGAGAGATCCGCACACAACCCTGCCCCCGAAGTCTGCGGGGAATGCAGGAGAGCGTCGCAGGACAGACCTTCCCTGCGTTTGCAGGAGGCGTGATTTAAAACCATCAAATTTAAAACCAATGATTTTAAAGTCCCATTTGCCCTCCAGGGCCAACTCAGTGTTTTCATCATTCTCCAGGCACCTGAAGTGAAATTTATGCCTTTGCAAAAACCCAGCCCAGGGCTGATACTCAGCACCATTCCCACCTGAGGTCTCAAAGAGTTCTTAATTGGGACTTCCATGATGCGGAGGCTTTCGCGGGATTAAGCTTGTCTGTATTGACTGTAGTTGAAGGCAGAGGTTTTGATATGCATTTAAGCCACTGCTGATGTTAAAAAAATAATAGTAAAAGCCCTGTCTGTTCCCTCAGCAGCCTGTTCCTGCCCCTGCCAGCCCCGGTGAAAGCGAGCGTGCCGCCAGGGCAGCAGGGCGGATCCGCGGAGGGGTC